ACAATATATAACTGTACATGAGATTAATTTGTACAGACCTTTCTTTGTGTATTCTCTGCCTAATAATAGTACTGTAATACACACTACATTGCTCCCAGACTTGAGCTGTATATAGAATTAGCTCTTCTTTGCATATCTTGAGCTCGGGCTTTATCGAGCCTAGACTTTTCGATTCTGGATCTCCGTACCGCTTCTTGGATACGACGGTCATGTTCCTTTAGCAGTTCATCTATTTTGGCAGACGACGGACCCATCAAGGGACCGGAAAAGTGAATCTTGCTCCCCTTTGACCCGTGGCCCTGCTTACATTTAAACAAAGTTTTTTTCAATTTAGTGAATTTTTTTTTAAAAAAACATTTATAAAAAAAACTAAATCAAAAGTTCTGCTCGTGCAGAGCAAAGGGCAAACGTGACATGATTATTTAATTTTAACAAATGATTAGAGAGAATATTTAAGGAAGGAAGACATGTATTTACCTAGTACTCCTTCCGTCCGATTTAAACTACCCGTTTTGGATTATGATGTTTGACTGGACTTATTTTCAATTCAATTTAAATGAGTATTTGGGTGGAATTAAATGATACTCCCCCCGTCCCAAAAAGATTGGTACATATTGACTTTTTGGGAAATTAAGGGATGGATATTTTGGTGTTGACTTTCCAAAAATACCCTTGATGTGATGGTTAAAAGTAAGATGTGATGGGTAGATTATTAGAAAAAAGGTATAATGTGATAGGTAGGATATGAAAAAGTAATGGGTAAAAGTGGTTTTTTAATAGAAATGTAACGAACTTTACGGGACGCAGTTTTTTCAAAACGTGTCGGACTTTTTGGGACGGAGGGAGTACAATTTATTTTTAAAAACTACATCAAAAGTTTTTCAAAATAAGAGGGTGACAAGACTATATTATTTTATCAAATAAGAAGTTAAAATAGATAAAGCAAGCGAATGGAGGGAGTATAAAACAGGGAAAACTTGCCTGAGCGGCTTCTTGCATATTGGATCTTCCACTTCCAACATGACACCTTTGATCTTGTGTATTGGCCCTAGAAATTCCTGACAAAACTGGTCGGGACAATTGGGACAGGTCGGATTGGGTAGAACCAATAGAGATATTGTCGTACCGGTTCCCAAATCTTGAGCCTTCAACAGCTGGAGCTAAAGGCCCCGAGTGCGAAATCACTTGTGCAGAGGGGTTCTTGATTGCCTCTTTCATAGCTTGTGAGGGCCTCCGTGATGGACCAATAGCTACTCTTGAAACACCTTCTTTATTATCTGCCTTTAACACCTGACTTCGGCTACTACAACTTCCCTTCCTCTGCAATAAATGCAAATAACCATTGAGGTTTGTGGTCAACTTGTGGTTTCTTTGGCTAAATATTCCCTTCGTTTTTAAAGGGTATGTTTGGATCACAAGAATCGCTAAGTGAAGTAAATAGAATGCTGAGGAAAGTTGCTTTGTATTAAAATATTAGGCTTTACATTGGACAATGAAAAGAAAAATGAATCATTAGTTTTATTAGAGTATTATTCTTTCATGTTTGTACATGAAATTTCACAACATGCCCTTATACGAAGTCAGTTTTCGATGATTCACTTCTACAGGAAAAATGGAAGATATTGCATGGTTTTAATTCAAAAATACTTTGTGTTTGGATTTAAAAAAAAACCTTTCGAATATATACCTGCAAAGATCTAGTTATCTCAGCATTGGCATCCAGGGCAGGAACACCTCGAGTTTCTTGTAATTGGTCCTTTGCTCGAATAACTCCTTGCCTGCAAATAATGTCTCAATCATAAATACATATTGTCTTCATGTCCTAAAGGTATGAGAGACAACACATTATTCACTTGACTGCAAACAACTTTTACAGAATTATAAAACTATAAGAAGGTTTGAGCGCTTTAAACTACAACAAGCTGAAAAGTGCATTGAAAATGGTAGTTAGGGATCAACATGCAATAAATTACCTCCTATGTTCACTTTCACGCAATTTTGCATCAATTTCCTTGCTGGGAGGGTATTTTGGTAAACTGGATGGATCACAAGCAAACGGGTGTGTTCTAAAGAACTGCCACCGAAGTCTCGTGTTAGGCATGAAACGATAATTATAAAATCGTGCACACACAAAAAAGAAGGCAATACGAATGCATTTCAACCATAAGGTTCTTGGCCAAGAGAAACTAACTCACATCACTCTTTAGAGCAAGACCAGCCGTTCCCCTATGTTCGGGATCTATAGAAAGCAAGGTATCCATTAGGTCCACAACAACAGGAGGAAGATCCTTAAATGCATCAGCAATACGCCGTCTGTAAGGTTGTATTGGTTTGAATACAGTTGTATGAGGCAACTTCTCTTTTCTCCAATAGTCTTCAGATGGTGAACCACAAAGCTTAAAAATCTTATGCAATTGTTCCACCTACACAAAATTTACATTTGTAGCCTTTGGCAAGGAAAAAAAAATAATACTATAAATTAAAACACTACAACATTATGAATATTCAAGAGAGATAAAAGAAGTCCTTGTGTTAAACTAGATAAATGATTGAACTTAATCTAATCTATTTGACCTAAATCAAATATGTACCTCAGTTCTCCCAGGCATGATGGGCGTGCCAGCATATAATTCTCCAAGTATGCAACCAGTGCTCCATAGGTCCACACCGACTCCATAATGAGTTGCTCCTAATAAGAGCTCTGGCGGGCGATACCAAAGAGTCACGACACGGCTTGTCAAAATTTTCTCATGATCAAAAAATGTTGCTAATCCAAAATCTGCAATCTTCAAGATTCCCTGATCGTTAACCAGAAGGTTTGAACCTTTAATATCTCTGTGTATAATACCGTGATTGTGGCAATAACTGAGTCCACTTAGCAGCTGTTTCATGTAGCATTTGACCTAAACAACCAAAAAGGGATTAGCATTCGAAGCAAGTTGGACAAAAGGGAAACATAACTTATTAGGGGCATCGATTTCGTAGGGGGCACACCTGGGATTCTGAAAACTTGACATTGGGGAGTGATGCCAATCCAGTGAGGTCATGTTCCATGTACTCAAAAACAAGATACAAGCTGCAAGACGTTCTTGAGGTGATGAGGCCGTCCAGTTTTATTATATTTGGATGATCAAGCCTTCTTAAGATAAGAATCTCCCTAGCCATGAACTTGACACTCTCGAGATCAGCATTATCAAACCTAACTCTTTTTAATGCTACTAACTTATTGTGTGTCAGGTCTCGAGCTTTGTACACACTGCTGTAAGTTCCTTGACCAATCTGCAAGAACAAAAACTGCCATCTCACAACCGCGAAACCTAACCAAAATAATGTTTTGTTGTTTACAATAAGATCAAGTGATGATATATATACCTTATCCAATTTCTCAAATGTATCGGCTTTGCGAGGGAGCCATCCAAGGATGGCTTCGCCAGCGACAGAAGCAAGCCAGGAAGGCCAACCTGCAGCAACCAACTCCCCTTCTGTGGCATTGGATACGCTTCCAAACCCACGGGGACTGCAACTGATTATACCATCTGAATTCTTACTTATTAATATCAATTCGGAGTTATCATCCCTAACCCTTCTAGACCCATTTCCCTTCTTATCCATCAATCTTGCATCACTCTTTCCCTTCTTCTCATTCTCCCTGTAACTCTTGTCTCTCCTCGAAGCAGAACGAGTTCGCCTGGATTGTGATTCTGATGATCCCTTAATCAATACCGTCTTGTTATCATCCCCGAATTTATCTTCGATAGAAGAAGCTTTCCCACAAACGCAACCCATTATAAACTAATTCAAGAATCCAACAAAATCAGGCATCAAAGAATGATTTCAATCAGTCCAAGAAAAGTCAAAACCCGAAATCAAGAAGGCTATAATTCAGAACTTTCATATCACAAGAACTTGCAAAGAGTCATACTGCGATTCACAACGAGCAATTGGATGAATACCCAGAAGTCTTTGCACCAAGAAGGAGCCGAACGCCGAAAAAGATTCCACCTTTAATTTTCACACACAAAGAGAAAGGTAATTCAGCTGAAAGAGATTCCAAGTTTAACCTTACTATTCAGAGAAACCCCAACCTCCTGAGAAACGTTTATTTTTATAATAATCCTCGATCTATGCAGCTGTTTCATTAGCGTTTTCGGGGGAAATTTTAGCTCTTTTTCACGGAAATGAGAAAATATTACGAGTACTACGCAGCAGCTCTTAAGCCTCAAAGGGGAAAGAAGATCATGGAGTATAGGTTTGACTATTCAACACGCGCTTATAGGTATAAGTCTTGACTTGTTGCTGTGCATTTTTTCCGAAAAGAGAGAAGATTTTGTTTACAACTTTACATACTCTTTATTTTTTTAAAAGAAATTATCTCGAACAATTTCATATCTTTGTACTCTTTTAAAAATAATTCCACTTTTTATTTTTATAAAAAGTAATCTCACATTTTCAAACGTGTGCAAGTTTTAGATTATCGTTAAAAAGCAAACAATCACTTAACAAATTTTTGAAAAATGTCCATTTTCGTAAATAAGTGAAATGTGAGATAATTTTAGGTAAATTCTCTTTTTTCATTTTTATATCTAACATTAAATTTGAATGTATTTTTTAAAAATGTTATTATAAATAATATTCTACCAAATTTAAGTATTCTTTAGAGTGGAACTAATTATTTTTTTCAATAATCGATAGGGTTAAGGAGTAAAATGAAAGTAAAACATTGATTAAATTTCAAAATAGAAGTTTAAAGATAAAACCCCCAAAGTAGGAGTACCTTCTTCTCCACTCAATTGTGTCATGTCGTGCTCAATTGTGCCATGTCAATGTTGCTCAAATGTACAAAATTTTCATCAATGGCTGCTTAACTCTGTCATGCTGCCGTCGGCAATGCCGACACCCCAACTGCAACACCTCTACCGCCGCTAATATCGCGCCTCTAATGTTGCTGACACAGCGCCTCTACCATCATCGATGTCGATGTCCCTTTAATATTGGCCACTGCCGCCATGATCAACCTCTTCAAACTGCAACATTTGTATCTCAGCCGCCGCCGCTTCATTAGGCATTGATTTTTATTTGGTTTTTTCTTTTCACTTTTGTATTTGATTGTGTTTTTATTTTTTGTTTGATTATTTTTCTATTAGTTGTGTTTAAATTTTGCTCACAATTTCAAAAAAAATTTGGTGATAGTAATAAGAAATTTAACATTTTATATTGGCAATCTTGATATTTCACTTTTCTTTTTAACATTTTATATTGGCATTTTTGGCCTTATGCAATAACATTCTTGGCATTATGCAATGATATGTTTGTCAGTATGCATTATCGTCTTTGACATTGTGGCTTTGGTTGGCGTTGTATTATAAGTTTTTTCCCTTGGCAGTTTCTTTAATTTCTGATTAGGACATATAAAAGGTCTCTTTAATGGTCAAAATCTTTTCACTAATCTTTTGTTTAGTGTTTGATCCCTTAATTGCATTTTGTACCCCCCAAAGAAAACGTTTTAAATATTTGTTCATGAAGTTAGTGTTTTACGGAATTTTTTTCTTGTTCTTTTTAGTACATTAAAAAAATTATAACCATCACATAAAAAATTGAAGAATTAGCTTTTACATAGGATTGTTTTGTTCTTAAATTAGCAACTAAAGTAGTCGCACATGGGCCACTTTTGTTTAGTTTTTATTTTATTTTAAATTTTACTCCTTTGAGTATATATAAGTTTGGGACTCCTACTTTGAGTATATAAGTTTGTGGCTCCTACTTTGATTTACTCCTATTTGGGAGTTTTCTTGACAATGAACCATGAGCGATAACAACACAAGTTTTAAAATCATGAGAAGTAACGGTGCACATTTACCAAACCATATGAGGGTTCTGGTGCAATAAACTCGAAAAAATATTATATGATCCAAATCCGAGAAATCTAATTTTCGAATTAGCATTAGGACTTTAAATTATGAAACTAAATCACATGTGTTTTCCAAATGTTGGAAAATTGAATTATGGGAGTTCAAAATATAAAATTGAAATAAAGTCTCATACTCAAACACAACGGTAATCATTCATAATGAACTAGGGACTATGGACTACTCTACCCCTCTCAAGATTTATTACCATCACAATATCGGTCTTCTAAAAACTTCTTTTTCCTTTGTTTTTTCATGGACTATTCTTTAAAATAAAATATTTTAATAGTCTCATCGTCCAAATTAAATTACATATTCACTATTCACCGAGTCAAACTTCATTAACTTTCTTTTTCTTTTCTCGGCAATCATTTGATAAAATAAAACAGTCATGCACAACTATTTTTGTAGATCTTTTAATGTACTCCGTAGTATTTTAATATATAATTTTTGTTTTTAAATTCTACACCATTTTTCATATAAAATGATCTAAAACATAATTTTAATCAAACATCATGAACTAAAATGAAGAATATAAATTGGGACGGAGGGAGTATCTTTTATTTTATAGAAGTTATTTACTTAATTTTTAAAAATTACTTTATAACTTTTTAATTATTTTTACTAATTTATAAATAAAAAAATTTTAAATTGCGTGAGACTTCACACGTCTTATAAATTTTGTTCTGAAATCCAGCCCTTTTTCATATAAAATAAATTTAAAAAAATTCAGCAAAACATGATAAACCGAAACACGCAATTTTAAAATTAATTAGAGGGAGTAAAAAAAGAATACCAAATACCTAGTGGAAAAAAGTCAAAATAAAATATCGGACCTAATAATAATAATTTCACCTTGGTTCTCATGTCAAAATCAACTTGGAGGTGCAATTGAAGGGGGTGGGGGACGTGTTTGGGTCGGGGCGGTGTGGGGAGGTGTACCGGGAGATTAGGGGGGTAGGAACCATCAATTTCATGAACGGAGCACCGGAGCACCCCGGGTCATCGCATAACATTGGTTCCCAATGTCATGTGAACCGGCCTCTAATAATTTTGGGGCGGGGGATACTCATCTTTGGTAGGGACATAACATGTCATACAAGTAAAAGAAAGTATCCTTTTCATCCCGCCCCAAGTGCCCTAGTGAGGCACTCATGCCTCTTGAATAGTCAATCATAAACAAAAACATTTCAAACTCGAAAGAGCCTTCGAGCCACGGGGTGAAGTCCCAAAATCTCCTCATGCACTCAAATCCTCTGACCAGTTTACCCTGTTCCTGGTAATGATCAGCAAGTATGAACCAAATCCCACCAGCCCAACACTTCTTCTCTCTTGTCCAAGCTTCTGCCAATCCCTCTGCTTCAATAAACAGACCCTGCCTACAATATCCCTCAATGATCAGCTTGGAAATGTTTAAATCGTCAAGACTAGACAAGTTGCCAGATGATTCCCACTCTCTCGCCATCTTCCTGGCCTCGTTCAACTCGCCCCACTCCACTAGTGACCTTATAATGTTCTCATAATCCACATTTACTGCTTGGGCCGCTGAGTCCTCTGGATGTACCAACAAAGCGACTTTGAGTTTGTATCTTGCATCGACTGGAATGAGTTCTAAGATTGTTTTGCCATCATCAGTTCTAAATGATCTAGAGCACAATGATGCACCGCAGTATAAGGGGAAAAATGACCCACATGCTTCTTCCAGGTATTGGAGAAACATCATCTGAATCAATTGAGGCCCACAATTATGATCACATCCCAGAAAGCAGTTATATGCTTGAAATAGTTCATCCGCTTTAAGGTATTCTCTGCAAAGTAAACGTGAAAGCTTGTCGACGCCCTTCTTCCCCTTGCCAGCCCACTCAAAGATTATACTATATGCCTTCCCTAATGCACCGTTTTTTATGTACTCCTCAATAATTGGGTAAGGAACGCGAATATCAATCACGCTGCGCCAATTACCGAGTACTTCCCACTCCTTGACAAACTTCATAGCCTCATCTAACTCACCAAGCTTCACCAGTGACTTTATCACATTCTCATACTCACTTTCTAGCAGATAATTGGGGCTTTTCCTTCTTTTTTCCTTCTTTTGTAATATTACCCTTGCCTTTTCAAGAGCATCAGTGGCCTTATCTACAAGGAATTCTCTATCATAGAACTGGGCTACCACGGCGTAAGTACACCAGTCCATGACAATGTGGGGTTGACTCTCCATTTCTCTCAGCATTCTCTCCATCCCATCCACATCATACTTTAACCCAAATGAGCTAATGCAGATTCTGTAACTATCATTATCAGGTGAAACCTTGCTCTTCTTCATCTCGGCTAACACCCCAAGGACCTTCTCAATTTGGAGACTATTGGCGTAAAGGCGGATGATTTCATTTAAAGGGCGAAGTGACAACGCAAAACCCAACTCTTTCATCTTCTGAAAATGCAATAAAGCCTCTCCTGTTCTGTTTTCATGCACATAACAATGAAGGAGTTCTCCATATGTCTTGTCATTTCTAGCTTGTTTTGGCAAGTGCCTCACATGGCGCTCCGCAGCAGAAAATCCCCGAACCCTCCAAATCAAATTTATCAGGACAGCATGGTCAGTACACGAGAATTTATAAATACCTTTATTTCTCATCCATTCATAAACCTGCAAAATGTACAACATTATAACAGCACAAGCAAAATGCTATCAGAATTACAGAATGCATCTGTTGTATCTCAAATCCTTTTATAAATGAGATACTTATGGTCTTGATTAGAATCATATTTGTCACGGCGCCAAGGCGAGGCAACAAGTAATTAATGAGAATGGTTATACATTAGTAACTTCAATATTAAATATATCACATTATATATTGTACTCCCTTCGTCCCCCTGTATTTGTCCACATTTGACTTTTGGAACTGTTCATCTAAGCACTTTGACTCATCAAATTCTCTCAATGTGTAAGCCTAAATATAATCATGTGTGATCTTGTTTGATTTGACTTAACATATATATTATTAATATATAATTTTTATAATTTTTTAATATACAAATTACAAAATAAAATGGATTAAAGAAGTGCATTGGATGGTGTGTAAAAATGAAAGTGGACAAATACAGAGGGACGGAGGAAATAGTAGATAAAGTTTAAATTTTGACAGTTCGGCCTTAAGTGCTTTCTAAATCTATCAAATACACATTTAAAATAATTAAACACACCAAAATATGAAGAAAAAAAGCTCTACAAAAATTTTTATAAACAAATTAAATATGAAAAAAAGTACGCACTTGAAAAAAGAGTACACATCGCGTACTCGTTTGGCTCGAGACCATCGGGGGAAGAACCAGAGGGATTCATGTTAACAAAAATTGAAGAAGGGAAAGATGTGAAGAAGATTGAGGATTGGAGATTGAAGAAAGGAAAGATGTGAAGAAGATTGAGAATTGGGATTTGATATTTAAAAAAAATTAGAGATTTTTTTTTGGGGGTGTAACGGCTAAAATAGCCGTTGGGGGGATCAACGCCACTGTGCGTTAAACGTTTGATGCAGGGCGATGATGCCCGAATGAATCCCGAAGGGGGGCGGTGTTTAACGCCAATGAAGCGTTAAACGCCCCATGGCACCCCCCGGCGTCAAGAACATTTCCATTGCTCTAAAGCATTTTACTTTCAAAAAAAATAAAATAAATGAAGCATTTTCAAAAAAATAAAAAAGATATTTACTCTGTATAACACACTTTCTATCAAGGGCTAGAGACTCAGAAATCAAACTACTCACAGAGCGAAGATTTGCAAGGGACTGAGTCCCCGATGACCCCTTCCAGCGACAGTAAGAGAGGAGCGTGGCAGAGTAGTCGCATCCTAAGGTACTTGTGATGTAATTGATTGAAAGAAGCACATTGCTTCCCAAAATCATGGCATCTAGTCGTCCGCAATTCCGTGCGAGTTGCGACAACATCACATCGTCTGCAATTCCGAACAAGAATGCCAAGTCGTCCGCCAAACGAGGCCTAGGCAAGGAAGGCATAATTAGGCGAGTCGATCCTCCATAGCGAGAAGAGCAAAGCATCGGAACACCTAGGCGACGCCATGACCACAATGATTAAAAATCATTCCATCTACTTTGATAACAGTACCAGTAATTCAGATAGACCATCACTTAACTGACACAGCGACACTAGATTCAAACTTGAATATCAAAGGCAACATGCAATAAAGATTAGACTTCTTTCATTTGACACAAAACAAAAAGAATGATAATATTCCATTGCCCTGTACGAGAAACAACATTAACCAAGTGCCAATTGCGATGTAAGGGGGTATCAGATGTACGCAGCCTGACCCCTAAGTTTAAAACATAGAGAGGTAGTTTCCAAATGAACCATGAGCCTTGAATGTTGCTTTGACTACCAGCTATTTCACTATTAAAAGAAGGGTAGAGAGCCATTTCGCTTCTATCATACTCCAAAGCCAAAAAAATAGTGAATCTTTGGCTCAAAAGCTATGAAACAAAAGAAATCAAGATGCACAATTCAAATTTACACCATAGTCGAATTCTGAAATAAAGATGATTCTAACTACTCTCTAATAAATTAAGCACTACAGAAAGCTTCTTGTGACAAAATTTATAAAGAACACAAATTTTCTAAGAGAAAGTCATGTCTATCATTGAAAGTCTTGTGGGATTACTGGCTTGTTATTGTTGGTGTTGTAATTCCTAAGAACAGCTTAATACCATGGTTATCAGGGCAACAAGTCGAATGAAGTCGATAAAAAGAGAAGACTAGTGGACTAGTCGACAAATCACGATTAGTATTGAAAATTTTAACATTATATATATCTTCATTCACCAAAGATAACTATAACTATATACATTTATATGATGAAATATCATTAGTAAAACAAAATTATGTTTAAAGGTAGCAAATAAAGTCACATGACGAAGGGTACATAAGAATCAATAGTAGTGACGTATGCCATAGATGGGCTATGACAATGAGAGAGAGAAATCGAGAAGGGTAAGTGACTCTCACCATGTACTGATCAAGTGAGCGAAGACTTCTATTTTTTTAAATTTAATGAAAATTGGGTCGGGTAAGGTCGGGTCAAATTGGGTAGGGTTTCAATCATCGACTAGTCGTCGCCTAGGCATCACTTTAGACGACTAGTCACCTTAAGTCGCTAGGCGATACTCAAGTCGCCCTCTACAAAATGACCAAACGCCTAGTTGGCGACTAGTCGTCGACTAGGCAACGACTTAACAACCATGCTTAATACTTCACTCTGAAGATTTACAACTTCACAGGTAGTTCCATGATGAATTAGAATAAATTAGAATGTTAGTACACGAGACAACTTAGAGAGAAATTGGTTGTTAAGGCTTTTATATGTTGCCATCAGATACATGTGTAGAGTCCACTTCAAAATGGGATCCATGCTTTGATTTCTTTTTATGCTTCTTCCTTACATATTTTTAATCAGCCCACATTGTCAAATTTATACTTCTTTTTAATCAATCTACATTTTCTCCTGATGGTGGAGTCACTCGGTGCTAGACTGAATCTTATATACTTCGCATGTGTATCAATGTGTGTATACTGAAAATATAATTGAGAATATTTTGATTGGTAACAGCCAAGGCTTCTAGGGAGACGGAGGGGTCGGCCTCGGAAACTTTTTGGTAAAAGATTTGTTGGGCAGTTAATATCCCCTAGCTAGGCAAGACCTCTCTTCAGCAGTAACCCAGCGTGCACCTTCCTCTGTCTCAGCCCAGAGCAGAACGAGCTCTGCCATCTTCTCCATGGCAGCATCCTCAAAGGCTAGAGATGCCTTAAAGGTGGAAACTGTGTCAACACCGGTGAAGACAAAAAGAACTTTGCCTTCCACTCACAGGCAGGGAAAGAAGTCCTCCCGGAGGTTGTTGCTCAAGCTATCCCATCACTCCTACTGAGTCTTTACTGCTTCCCAACAACAATAATCAACTCTCATCACAGCATGTTTTCAATGTTTGGGTGGTGTGGCAGTGGAATGGGTACAAAATTCATTAGAAGAGCTGGGATGCCCTCTGTAAACCTAAATTTGTGAGCAGTTTGGGCTTCCAAAGACTTGATGTCTTTAACATGGCAATGCTTGCCAAACAAGTTTGGAGACTCCTCTGTAATGCAAACTCGCAGGCAGCGAGGATTCTCATTCCCCACTCAACTTTCTTGGAGTCTTATCGCGGGAGCAACTGCAGCTATGTCTGGGACTCTGGGCTAGGCAACGAAATGGTCTGTATGTCACATCATTATCTTTATTTTGAAATTATTAATAGTCCAATATTGTAAGAATTGGAAAAAAGTTGATACTAATTTTTATTTAGTCATTATCTTTTGTCAATTCTAGTAATAATCTTTTAACTTGAACTTACATTAAATATTACTGCGTGATTAAATAATAATTCCTCCACCCCATTTTCTTTTGAGGAACCCTTCATCCCATTTAAAAGTTTATTGTACGGGTTACGATGTTTGACCATGTCATATTCAATTTAGTTTGTATAAAGATTACGCTACTCTCGCGGGATCCAATTGGGTTGTAGCTATTATATAAAAATAGAAAGATTGGTATATAATTAAAAATCGGTGGGGTTCTAGTGACACTGGAAAACGGTGCCACTAGCGGTGTCACTGGGTTTTTGGGGCACCTCCGGGGCTCCGTTCGTAACATTGACGGTTCTTACCCCCCTAACCTACTCCCTAANAAAATAGAAAGATTGGTATATAATTAAAAATTAAAATTTATACTTTATCCCAATTTAAGTTGGTTCACTATTCACAAGAGTCAAACATTACTCAATTTTATTACCCATTTTTGGTACTCGTTTAATGAAAAAAAAGTCATGTCACCTCTTGTTTTGTAGAACTTTAAATATAGTTTTTAAATACTCCGTATATAAATTTTAGTTTTAAATTCTACACCAATTTTCATATAAAATGAACTTAAAATAATTTTAGTCAAGTATTGTAAACCAAAATAGACAATTTAAATTTAGACGGAGGGAGCATATTTTAAAACTAATCAAAACATCTACAACAAAAGATGTCATGACTATACTCCCTCCATCCCGCAAAGATTTACATATTTACTTTTCAAAAATATTAAAAAAATTGTTAAAAAGATGTTAAAAAGTGAGAAGTGTATGGTTGAAAGTTGTTTGGAAGAGAGGAAATTTGGATCACTTATTGTTTTCTAAAATGTGAAAAAGTAAAAGTGAGAAAATTATTTTGGGACATATGGAAAAGGAAAGTAGGCATATCTTTGAGGGACAAATGGAGTATTATTTTATCATCAAATGATAGATGAAAATAGACAAAAAGAAAGAAATAGTTTGACTGTGTAAAAAGTAAGTATAGACTTTTAAATGGAATGGAGTATAAGAGCAACCATCCTAACAAGTACTACGTATAATTTAAAATAGGAGTAAATAAAGCTAAATGATAATAAAATTCTTGCAATAATTATAAGTTTAATTTGAACCACATCCATTTATATTTGATGTGAAAGATTGAGATCAAATCCATTCAAATCGATGAGAATGATTCAGCTCAGACATTAATAAATTCATATTATAACAGATCACATCAGTGAAGAGAAAAAGCCCTTAATGTGGCTGAAAAAGTACTCCGTACTGTGTTGCAATTTTTATGCATAGTTGTGGCAAAATGAGCTGCCCCAAAAAGCCTCAAGTTCCTTGTAATCAAATTAAACAGTATAGTAGCACACAACAACAACCCAGTTGAATCCCACGAGAGTATGGTCTTGGGAGGGTGTCTTTACGCAAACCTTGCCCTTACTCGGAAGTAGAGAGGTTGTTTCCAAGAGACCCTCGCTCAAGCTTCATAGATAAAACAATCATAGGGGATACATAAAGTAGAGAAAGTACATAGCACACATAGACGTAATAAACTAGAACTAACAAAGAATATAATCACAGAGCACCAAGCATACAAAGCATACGACAAATAGGAAACTACCCCTTAGCCCAAGGCACCTATCGAACTACTCTAATCATAGCTCTCCAAACACACTTATCAAAGGATATCCTCAGTAACTGCAGAAGTCCTAAGCCTTGTTTAATCACTTCCTTCCAATTCTTCATATGTCTACCCCTTCTCCTACTCCCTCACCAACAAAAGCCTCTCGCATCTTCACATTGGGCGTAATCACCTCAGTCTAGCACCCGCAGCACCACCTCACAATATAGCAGCAACAAGATTGAATATGAAATAGGGAAGAACTTACCTTTAGAGCTAGAGAGAACCGCCCATCCTTGCGAAGTCTCCTTATGATCCTCTTGAGGTACCCCGCCGAAGCCTCCTCCTTAAAATCAACCCAATCATCTAGCATAGACTTGACATCAATATCCTGATCAAGCCAATGAATATGACCAATCTGTACCCACAAGCTCTCCATCCATTTCATTGATGGCTTTATGAATGAGAGAGTACAAGATTAATTTTAGCCCAACATGGTTAAAGAATGTTCTTTTCTATCCCACTTTAATGATATACTTCGTGTACAATGATGAGTGATATATGTAATAATGGCTTTATCTTAATGTTTGTTCTCAAAAAAGGTGCTAATGTTTTTATGTGGAAACATAATTTGAAGGTGACAATGTGTGGTGAGTGGACAGGGGACGGGATGAGGCAGCAGGAGTAAGAATTTTCTAGGATTTTCTCCAAAAAAAGCGGGCCCTATGTAAACCATAAAGTAGCATAGCATGGAGATTAAATCTGAAATAGGACAGAAGCATACCTGGTGATCTTTAGAGAACCACTCACCCTCATGATGTTCGTCTATGATCTTGTTGTTGAGGTCGAACCCCGAAGCATCCTGTGTAACCCAATCGTCTGGCTTGGAGGTTATCATGATCTCAGGATTAACTGGGCTTATGGTGTGCATACCCATTGATCTTATTGGACTGGAGATGTTTGTCTGGCAGTAGCAATTCCATCCCCATCGCAGCGCTGCCGAACGGAAACGTAGCCCTAAGACCAATCGATTGAGTCCAATGTAATACATTAGACCCATCCTAATCTTCAGTTTAAAGAGGGATGATGATTTTTTCCGTTCACTTCTTCCTGTTGAAGATTTGAGAGAGAAATTAAGCCCTTGCACTTAGGGATGTATATGAATCGAATCAAATCAAATATCACCCTATTTGATTCGTATTCGACTTTTTTCAAAATATTTGAATTCATAGTCATTATTTATTCAAATATTAAAAACAATTTGAATTCTATTCAACACTATTTGAAAATAATGCATATTTAAAAAACTTATAGACTGACTTGTTTAATTGTTTTTTAAGTTGCATAAATACAAGTGTTGGTTTACCTTAAAAAATTACGGGATAAGATAAAACTATTAAATTCAAAACCACTGGTTTCCAGATTATTAAAAAGAGGATCGGGCATTGAAATTCTCAAAATTACACCAAAACAAAAGCTCTAATAGTCACATTAAAGTATCATATTGACAACAATAACATATGCAAAAAAGGGTACAAATTTCATGAATTATAGTCAAATATTCAAGAACTACACTTTGCACTCAAGCTCTTTATGAGTTCTTCTCCTGCACTCTAGTTCTAAGTATTACTTCAACAACAGGTCTTCAGCCTATAAAATTATAATGAAAAACTAATTACAAATCATCACACAAAATTTATGAGCTTAAAAATTTGAAAGGCATCATTGAAAAAGCAATTTATAACAAAATTCTAATAAAAATAAAATTCTTGATATTTACTCCGTACTTTTTAGTGTAGGAAAATTACTTCTACTCAATTGTTTCCACTTTTTTAGGAAGATGTATTTAATAGTTATACTAGTGAAAAATTATAAAGGGCCCGTTTCGTAAGCAACCCAAATATGGATCTTTATATTAGAGATGTCAAATTTTTAAAAAAAGGTGTGTGGTGAGAAATAAAAAAGAATTTAGATTTAAATTTTAACAGATATGTGAGTCAGCTACTCCAAATTGGCAACATAATGGTGATATGAAATGCAGAGCTCTTGATATCCTTTCTTTTCTCCGCTTAACATCTCTTTTCTCACCATCCTCATCTTTTCATTCATTTTCTTTAAGCTGTTTCTTAAATAATGTTACTTTTTAGCATCACGATTCGTATTCGTGTTAATTTCTCAACCTTTAAACTCTTGAATTTTTAGAGGGGTCGTCGGCATTCATGAGAGAAGATTTTAATTTCCATTTTCTCCAAACACTTTTGTTTCAGATTCCTAAACTCATATCATTTCTTCCAGATTTTCAAACTCATGTCATATCTCCAAAACTCACCAAATGACTCCTAGAAGAGTCATATAAATACACACCCACACACGAGTATATGAAAATTATTAAACTATGATCACATAGATTAGAATGCATCCTGATAATGGGAGAACACTCCGATAAAAATAAAGTGCAAACAGTAAATTGAAAAGGGCATATTCATCCAAAAGAAGAAATTCGAACACATTCTACCGATACATTCATAGCTCAAAATCCTCAAATGGAACATACCAGAGGCGAAGCAAAAGATACGACGAAGACGATGATTAATCGAAGAAAGCGAAGCGATGAAGAAGAGAGTAGGGTTTCTGGCGGGAGTAGCGGCTCGGATTGGAATTTGTGAGTTGATAAGGATTTTTTTATTCTATACTTTATAGGCCCACTAAAAATTACTCCCTCCAAATCTCGGTCCGTTTGAAAATCAGGAAAATAACTTGTGAAATACCGAGTATGAGTTATTTTTTGAAATAATTTCTCTTTTTTGTTGTTTGGCTAAAAATCTGAAAACTACGGAGTACTTATTTATGTTATGGTCTGTTTGGTATACGAAATTTATGGAATTGGAATTGAATTGAAATTAAAATTCTATGGGGGTCCGTTTGGTACACGGAATTGATCGAATTGAAATTGAATTGGAATTAAAATTCCATGGGATTCAATTCCATAGAATTGAATTCACCAATTCCAATTCATTTTTTGCACTACCAATTCCAAATCTACATAATTTTTGTAATTCCAAACATGAGAATTGGAATTGAAGTCTTCAATTTTAATTCCATAATTTGAATTTCGTGTACCAAACGGGGCCTGAGATTCAATTCCATAGAATTGAATTCTCCAATTCCAATTCATTTTTTGTACTATCAATTCCAAATCCACATAATTTTTGTGTTACCAAACACTAAAATTGGAATTGAAGTCCTTAATTCCAATTCTATAGTTTGAAATTGGTATTCTTTTACCTCCGTAAAAAGGTATGATATGAATAAGTAAGAGTAAAAGTGATTTTTAATAATAAAAAAAGAAAAACTTAGTGTGACAAAGAAAAAAATAAAGGAGAAGAAGTTTCAGCCCATAAATACAAATGTTCAACTTTAGATGCAACACATCTTTCACCGACATATATAATTGTCCATTTTGTATAAAAAGAGTGGGTTTTGCCAAAAAGAGAGCGAATTTAGCAACATTCTTTATTTAATTGTGAATTAAGCAACACCCTTTACCGTTTTTCCAATTTAAATAAAAAATGTCAATGCAAACGAACCAAATAGGGTTGGACTAAAATATAATTATTTTCTTACTATAACTAGGATCATATATTTTTATTTTCCAATTTAAGACTATTGGTCATTATTCATTAGTCATTATTCTAATAAATGTGCATCAATACTGGACATTATTTCTCCCATAGACATCATTAAATCTTATTTGAGAATAAAAAGTTTAAGTCCTACATTGAAAAATGACTTATGTTTTAATCCTATTTAGTACAAAAATCATACGTCAAAGCTAAGCCGGGTAAGGTAAAAACGAGGTACCAAAGGCATATTCGTACTAGCTCCATTCAAGAAAAAAAATTCAAAAAATTCAGCGCCGCGTTACTTTCCTTTCGGGATTTGGTCTAGATTCATCATGAATCTAATTATTTGTGTGTAGCTAATAAGCACACTGTAGGACCTCAGACGCTACCAACAACTCTTTTAAAACTAATTGGTATTAGAAGAAGCACAAATCCTAATTTTATAGTACATTTAGCAATTAGTATACACAAGCACCCACAATATTGGATTATGACTTTTATAACTCTTTTAAAACTAATTGGTGTTAGAAGAAGCGCAAATCCTAATTTTATAATACATTTAACAATTAGTATATACAAGCACCCACAAGCACCCATCAATTAGTATACACAAGCGCCACAATATTAGTATACACAAGCACGAGAGAATTAATGCACGCATGACCAACAATCTCCTCCTTTGCAATTGTTCTTGCTGGTAATCGAACTTGTGGCCTTGGCTCACTTGTAGGTCCTCAGACGCTACCAACTAAATATCCTAAAACTAAATGGTGTTTCCCTAACGTTATAATTCATTCAACACACAAAAAAACCCATGACATTAGATTATGACTTGGCCCACATAGCCTTCGGCACGGGACATTTGATTCACGCATGGTAACACTTGTAAAAACTCAAGCGCTACAACCTCTTCTAAAACCAATTGATATTAGAAAAAGTGCATACTACTCTACCCTTATATTGCATTCAGCACATAAAAGCGCTCAAGATATTCGATTGTAACTTGGCCTATATAGCCTCTGCGACGGGACAATTGTTGCACAAACGCTACCAACTAAATATTCTAAAACAAAATGGTGTTTCCCTAATGTTATAGTTCATTTAACACACACAAAAACCCACGACATTAGATTATGACTTAGCCCACATACCCTCCGCCACGGAACAATTGATCCACACATGGTAAACACTTGTAAGAACTCAAGCGCTACCAACTCTTCTAAAACCAATTGCTATTAGAAAAATGCATACTACCCTAGTCTTATAGTGCATTCAACACATACAAGCGCTCAAGATATTCGGTTGAAACTTGGCCTACGTAGACTCCCCGACGGGACAATTGTTGCACAAATAGCCAACAATCTCCCCATCAGCAATTGCTCCCACTTAGAATGAAACTCGTGACCTTGTCTCTGAAACCACTTACAGGACCTCAGACACTACCAACTCTTCTAAACCAATTGAGTTAGAAGAAGTGCATACCCTAGCCTTGTAGTGCACTAAACACACACAAGCGCTCATGACATTTGATAACGACTTAGCCCACATAGCCTTTCCCATGTGACAATTGATGCACAAATGACCAACACGCACTACACGCTTAACAATGACGTCGGGTGGAAAATATCTAACATTCAATTAAACATAAGTGAACTCACTAATCCATAGCCATCACATGATATCATTCACATTAGTTACACCATAGCTAACACCACATACAATTCATAATAATATTCATGGATTCAAACAATAATTATCGAGTTCTCGTTATTTTATTCCTCAGATTTATATCCAACTCAAGCTCATAACCAATTCTAGGCTATGACCAGTTCATAACAAAACTTAAGAATCAGGACCTTCTCTTTCCAAACGAAGGTCACACTCAAACTAACGAAGGGGTTCCTCGTCACGTGGGTGGAATCCATGTCCCCACTAATCAATTTAGCTCAATCCTAGGATTCTTCTAGGTAGATTAGTTTATTCGTTCTAATTTTACTCATACAACATAAATGAAACCATGGGCTTTGGATAATACAAACATAATCATGTAAGAACTCATTCACAAACAGCAGCATAGTATTGGGTGTGAACACCCACACTTACCTGCATGCAACATACAAAGTATCAAACTATATCCTCAACACGAAACACATTTGTCATCGTTCATGTCTGTATCCCGATACTTGTCACGGTACCTATGTACTGCCAAACAGTGTCAGGGTATCGTTAACTAGTACCTAAGTACAAAGAGTGCTAGAGACTCTCTAGTGACTGGTAGAGAATATTCTTCTGTGATGGTAGCACGATACAAGTAGGCAGTACCTACTTACCATCTGACATGAGGACTCACATGGTGCATCTCACTCAAGTAAAAACATAGCCAAATTCCAATAATAAATTCACAAATTGAATCACAAACATTGACATAAACTGATTTCTAACATCATAAGGAATCATGAACATAAAAACCACGCATGATCATGCGTTCAAACACCTTTTCATTTAATAAGAATTCCTAGTTTTCCAAATCATAAAACCCTAATTCAATCGGTATGGTGCTTACGAACGTAAATTTCAGACATATATGCATAATTTAGCATTAGATGTCCATGTACTCAGATCAGCTCGAGTCAGTGAAATTTAAACTATGGTCACTGAAGGGTTTGACGGCGGCGATGCGGCGTCCTCTTCTCTTCTTTTTCTTCTCCTCCGTCTTTCTTCCTTTGCCGCTGAGAGAGAGAGAGGACGGGATACTTATCATGGTCGGCTGCTGTAACGGCGTCGTTTGCTTACTCTACAATCTCCACAGCGGTTCCGAATCCATATACCTTTGGAACCCTTGTATTCAGAAGCTTATGACCTTGCCCTCTGCTGCAATTATTAGACCAAGGTGCTCCTCCGTACTAGGGTTTGGTGTTGATCCAGAGGGTGGTCTCAAGGTTGTGCCATGAAAGGGGGAAAGGATGGATTCGGACTGTGTCTGATTGTGTTGAGATTTATTCACTTGGCACGGCGACGTGGAGAAGGATATCTGTTGTTGGGGTGAATCCCTGTATGATCATTTTAGTTCAGTCTCAGACTTTTGTCCATGGAGCAGTGCATTGGATTGGGTCCAAATTGATGGACGACAATGCGAGACAGAACTGTATAATTGTGTTCTCCAAATTCAGACTTGATTGCCTTGTTGGATTTGGTTCAGCCATCCCTACACAACGATATATAGTTTTTATAATAAATTGACAAATATTCATAATCAATCACGGGCCCATCTTAATAATTAATTATTCTCAATCCATTAATTCTGATAGACCGAGTTTCAGAGCATTACATCCCTTCCCCTTTCCCTTCTAGTTTTTAATTATTTTTAACACTTATTATAATTAAAATAAAAACACAAAATACAATAAAAATTTACTAAATTTAAATTAAATATTTCATTAAATCTAAATTAATACTATAACACCCCAACCCAAACACAGATATTTTAAAATATTTAAATAAAAGTCAACATACCAAAAACAATTAATTTATTTGTCAAAGTTTTCCCAAAACAGCGTGAAAGCTTATTAAGTCATACCATGTCATTATAACAAATCAATTCATTAATTGCTAAGGATTCTGCATTCGGACATCCCCTTCTGTCTCGCTGTCCTGCGGAAGTAGCTCAAAAAATACCCTCGTGCAATCAAAGACAACAAAGAGTACAAAAAGTTGAGTAAGAATATATATAACACTAGAATCAATTCCCAGAGTAGCACCATATCAATATGGATCAGACAATGTCATGCAAGTCAGATATTATTGTCCATTTTTTTAATCAATTTATAGTTTGTATTAACTGCTTTGTAATGGTTCATACACTGCATTAATTAACAGGGTCTAGTAGTCCTAATAATTCAACTTATTAGTTCTAAGGGTAACATTATTAGCTAGGGATGACATAAATGTTGGATTTTTTTGTTTTTTTCATCTTGTAGATGAAGTACTGCTCCTTGAAAGTTTTGTTCGAGAGATTCAAAAGTGAAACAATCAACC